AGAAAGTGAAGACCCAATGGCATTGCAAGAGCACGTTTTGCCAGTTGGTCAGCTCCAATATTTTTTTCTTTTTCCCTCTCCGAATGTAGCTAATATTAACAATTCAATCTCAACGAAGTAGATTCTGGCACTTTTGGATCAACTCTCAATATCATTATTCCCATCCTTAATTAGATTCAAAGCTTCTAATGAATCACCTTTCAAAATCACATTCCTATGACTACCATCTCAAGTTCTGCAAAGACCAATAAGACAAGACCAAAGTTTGGCCATAAAAGGATGATTTTTCTAAAAATTTTAAGCAAAAAAACTCCCCGTGGAGATTGGTAATTGTCCTTAATGACACCCTCGCAACTAGTATCATTTCTAAGATGAGAAAAAGCACCATCAACATGGACACAAACCAAACCTTCCAACAATCTAGGAGGGGCACCGATATCCTTCATAACTCCATTAATCTACACTTGTCTCACACTCAATGTGCTACATTATATTTAAAAACCATAACCTTGGCTCCACAAAAAAAAATAATATTGGATTAAAAGTTATTTTTATTTCTCCACTTTACCCAAAAAATTTCTAAACACTATAAACTTAATCATAAATTAATTTTATCTTTTAATATTAAAAATTAAGTCCCTCGTGTTATTTTCTAGTCATGTAAGTCCTATATTAAATTGTTTAATATTTTTATTGTAAAATATTTAATAATGGATCCCATCATTTATATGTCTTTATAATATAAAAAAATACTCTTTCTCCTCCCCACTCTCCCCTCTATCCTCTCCTCACTCTCTCTCCTTCTCTCCATCCCCTTCCACTCTCTCTATCTTCTCCCCACTTTTTCTCCTTCTCTCCATCCCCTTCCACTCTCTCTGTCTTCTCCCCACTTTCTCTCCTTCTCTCTCTCTCTCCCCTCCCCATTCTCTCTCCATCTCCTCCCCACTTTCTCTCCTCCATCATGTTCAAGTCCATGCATGACTATGTATCGTGGTTCATCGACATCAACGCCTACTTTGTCACCACGCTGATCGCTCTATCTTCTTTCACGAGTGACTATATGTGTGCTCATTTCTTGCATGGCTTTTTCAATCCACCCACAAGCTTCAAGTTCATGGTTGAACTCCTTGCAATACATGAGAGAGCCAGATTCCTTGGGGGCATCGCAAGCGCAGAGCCAGAAGAGAAGAGGCATAAGATAAAGACAAGGTTGGAGAAGGTGGAGAAGAATTCAAACGAGTGAGAGTCCATGACCCATGTGAGGAGAGAGATAGGGAGGACCAAAGCGAGGGAGAGGGATAGTGGAGTGGAGAGGGAGAGTATTTTTTATATTATAAAAAATATAAAAAATGATAGGATTCATTATTAAATATTTATAATAAAAATATTAAAAAAATTAAATGTAGGATTCACATAACAAGAAATAACGTCAGGGACACCATGAATCGAATTTTTAACATTGAGTGGTAAAATTGATCAACAATAAAGTTTATGATGTCCAATCTTTTGAATAAAATTAAAAATTTAAAAATGACCCTTAACTCATAAATATTCAGTGCACTAGTGTGTATTGATATTTTCAAAATTTTTGTTATTCCTTCTTTTTCATAGGAGCCAATAAATAACTACAAATAATTCTTTGCAATTTCGGGCAACTCGCCCCACTTTCATAGAAGCATTCAAATAGCATCAATCCCACATGTGACAATTGAAAAAACTTAGGAGAACACTCGGCTTGATGATAGAACTCCACAAGGATTTTATTTCATTACAGTTGCGGAGAATATGGGGACAATCTTCAATTTCATGGAAACATGTGACACAAGAGGTGGAAACACTCCATCCTCTACATTTTCAAACCTCATTCGTCAAAAGCTTATTGTGGAGCGTTAACCTAAAAAAAAAAAAAACTTACATACTTAAACTAAGGTTCAGTGCTTTAACTTTACATTAAATTTTTTAATTCCTTATAAAGCATCTTTTTAATTTTTGAATCTTGACACTCTTAATTTTTTTTTCTTTTTGCTTTTACTCCGCTATCTTAAGTCTTTAAACCCATTAATTTCACTAAAAAAAATTCTTAGATTAAACTTTTAAATATTAATAAAAATATTTTTAAATATTAATATATTAAATTTAATTTTTTAAATAATAATAATAATTAACATAATAAACAATTATTTAAAACTAAACATTGTTAGGGTTTGAGAGCATTGAAAAAAATACTTTTTATAATTAAAAGATTAAACTAAAATTTTATATTACCAAATTAAAATACCCATTTTTTTACCTGAATTAAAATACACTTTACCCTTTTACTACCAGTATTTTTCCTGTGCTTGTACTTTGTACCTTAGATGTGGTGTCCACCACTTCAATTGGGGGAGTAATTTATTATTTTGTTGGTGGGATCCACTAATCCTGACATTATGTCATTGTGCTCAAAAGTTAAAACCACTGAACCTGACCGGGAATGGATTCGTGTTACACGGACTTGGGCAGCTGCCCTTTTTTCAAAGATCATTATCTTATACGATGACTCAACTTTAAAATTTATTAATTGATATTATTGTTGTTATATTTAAGATTAATTAAAAAAATTAATCATTTAATATCTATTATTTTAAATTATTTATAATTTAATTTTTAAATTTTAATTTATTATAATTTAATTTTTATAATTTTAACTTAACTATAATTTAATTCTTCAATTTTAATTTTTACAATTCAATCTCTATAATTTAATCATTTAAATATTAATTTATATATTATAAAAATAAAATTATAAATATTAAATCTATTTTAAAATTTTAATCTTCATAATTTTTAAAAAGATTACAAGAATTTAGTAATTTAAAATATTAGTCTTACTTTTAACATAATTTTAATTTTTATAATTTTATTTTTTAAAATATAAAGAGTGATATTTTGATTTGTTAAAACTATATGAATTGAATTGCAAGAATTAAAGTTTAAAAATTAAGCTACAATCGAGTCAAAACTATAAGGATCGAATCACAATGAGTTAAAATTTAAAAATTAAGTTATAATTGAGTCAAAACATCAAAGGTTAAATAAATAATTTTTCCTAAAGATTTATGATAAGAATCATTTACCTCTTCTTATCCAGTATTCCCTTCACTCATTTTATAACAAGACATTTTTTTAATAAAACAGAAAATATGCTAAACGAATAATAATTAAATATAGTTTGAAATTTTCATTTCTCTATAATAAAATATAAACGTTTAAAATGTTCATTCCTAAAAGGAGAAAGAGAAAATATATATTTAAGTGAAATCGAGAGAGGTAATTTTAGAATAATTTTTATTAATGATAATAACTTATTAAATTTTTCTCAAAACATCTTACATTGTGAAATATCAAATCACTCCAAGAAAAAATATTATATAAAATGGGTGGAGGGAGTACCAAACTTTTCGGTTGGCGCCTTAAATTTCTTAAATGTCCATTCATTTTAAAATATAAATATTTTAAGGTATTTATATATTGATTAAGAAATATAATTAATATGGCAACATTCTTTCCACATTACCAAACATGCCCTCAATTCATTTTATAATTAATAAAAAAAAAGTAAAGAAACAAGTGCATCTATAAATTAAATGTTACTACTCCCTCTTGTTCCAAGAAGAATTTCTCCTTTGTCCAATTATATACACAAAGTGTTAAGCCTTATTTTGTCTTGAATATGGAAAAAAGATTTAGCAAATAGTTGATTTTTTTAAATATTTTCCTCCTTAATTGCATCAAGTTTTAATAATTCCTAGAACAACTTTATTGTGATAATTAATTTTAGTGAATGACAGAATTTAAAAGTCAAATATCTTTACCAATTTCAAAATATTAACTATCATTTTTTAAAAACCATAGAATTAGTTAACTTTGCTCTATAATTATGATAGAAGGAGTACAATAAGATTATAAATAATGTACCATAAAAAAGACCTCAATAAATATTGCATCATTTTTTTTGGGCACATGTGTCTTCTTATTTTAAGTTAATTTCATTCGAGGTATAATTAAATATTAAATATCTGCACTTCTTCAATGAAAAATTGAACTTTAATTTTATATTGTAAGAAGCTAAACCATCTTGTGAACCCAATTTTATTGATTATTGCATTGAATTTTAATAGGATATATAAAGTGAAATAATTTTTTTCTTAAAAATATCAATATTTAGAAATGGAGGGAGTATATGTAAACAAAGTTGCGGGGTCATAGCCAATAAAAAGTTGAATCTTATTTATTATTATTTTTCAAAAGTTGAATCTTATTGTTAGTGGAAGGAACATGTAAAAAAATTCTTGAGCCATAAAGTATAAATTTTTGTGAGTCAGCTAACTGAATAAAATTCATAAAAATTTTAAATAAAATACAAATTCAAATCTTTATTAAGATAGGTACTTCAATAAAATTGCTTTCAATAGGAGAATACCTGTAAATAATAAAAAATGATTTATTTGGCTTATATATAAATAATTTATTTTTTTTCTTTTTTAAATAATTTCTTTTTTTTCTTTTTTACTTTCATACTTGAATTTATAATGACCATTTTTATAAATAATAAATAATACGATCTATTTGCTTAAATTTTAGATATTAAACACATAAAATATATGTATTTTAAATGTTATATATGTTCAATTAGTTATTTTATTATTTTTATAACAATGAATCTCACTAAAGCTTACACACACATACATGACGTGTTGGCGAAAAATAATAAAAGGAAAAAGAGATAAACGAGTAAAATTGTTTATATATCATTTTTGTGTTCTTCTAGGACGAGAAAACAGGAGGCGGGCGCAAGATTTAGAAAAGTAAAAAGTCGGCTAAATTTTGAACAAGCTGTGACCTGTGAACCTATGAACATGTGAAGAATATATATATATATATATATATATATGTATGTATGTATATAATAAAATGGGAATAAAAATTATCATTATCAAAATTTTCTTTTCTAGTTTTGGCTGCGTGCTGCGTGGTCTTCGTTGTTGATCTCCTTCCTGTCGTCTTCAACAATCTCTGCTTTTAAATCCAACCCATTTCACTTCTACTTCCATTCTCCTTCCTCCTACTCGCGTTTTCTCTCTCTCTCTCTCTCTCTACACACCACCCTCTGCGTAGTTTCTCTTTCTTTTCCTTCTCTCCCCGCAACACTCTGTTTCTTGGTCCAATCTTACACGCCCATTACTTGAATGGCTCAGCCTACACCTTCAGGTTTTTCATCTTTTCCCTCATGTTCAATGTTCTGTTCTTGTATAAGATTTATATTATTAATCTTTCGTTTGTAGGAATTCATATATATGGATTGAAACTCGACGTTGTGAGCTAAAGATCGTTTCTTTTTTATTTTCTTATGGGTTTATAATTTGTTTTCTGAATCATATTCTAGATCTTTACTTGATATATTTGTTTAGATTTTTTCTCTTGATTGAATGCGTCATGTTTTTGTTTGTAAGTATTGAATTCGTTGCGAATAGTAACGATCACGTCTTCTCGCGAAGACCTTCTTGTGGCGTGTGATTTCCATCCTTGCATGGAGACAAACAAAACGATAACGGTTAGGGTCTATGCCTAATACAAATATCTTATCTGAGATCAGTATTCGTGTGCTCTTCGCAGTCGATGCCAAAACCTGATTAGATTGAGGGTAATAAAATTCATTTCTGATTAGATTTGGGATAATAATTAATTTCTCATTGTTGGTTAAAAAAAAAAAACAAATTCGATACATCAATTGAATCTTGGTTTAGTGATCATGCAAAATTGACAATCCATTTGGGAGAAGAATTAGGTAAATTGAAAACAGAACAGTATGAATGACTAGCTTATGTATGCTGTAGATTTGTAGATGATGGTTTACAAAACGTCACTTACATGTGCAATGTAGCAAGATGCCAATGCCATGCTTTATGTTTGAGTTTTGAAATGATTTTTCTATTTCATGATTAAGTAGCAGAGCAATGTGCATTGATGTTTGAGGGATGTCATATTATATATACACTTAAGACAATTATCCAAAGTGAAGGTCACAATTCTTCTTACTGGCTTTGTTTGTTCAATGGGGAAGAACATGATTGCGGGGATTCTGACATGATTTCACTTCCTCTACTCTAAAGGGAAAATCATTTCATTCTACTTGAAGGATTGCTCTTTGATTAATTAAGAAGATTTTCTCAGTTACCTTGGGCACCAAGCTCAAGAAATAGAGCAATTTCTATAATCAACACCATGAAAAATCCAGAAAACGTATCCCTGCAAAATGACTTCTGTAAAACAAAAGGGGCCATATTAGCGGCCTAATTACATAATGACGTGTCAGGAAAAGCCTATTGTTGGCTACTCTGCATTCAGCTATAATGCATTTATTTAAGGTTTAACAGTATTGCTTTTGTACAGGTAACGAAGAATGCAAGGACACTGATTCACTGGTTGTTTGCCTTGGTGAAATGTTGATTGATTTTGTACCAACAGAGGCTGGAGTGTCACTTGCTGAAGCATCTGCTTTTAAAAAGGCTGCTGGTGGTGCTCCTGCCAATGTGGCTGTGGGCATATCCAGACTAGGTGGTTCATCTGCTTTTATAGGCAAGGTATAATTAGACATCCAAGCCTGTTGATCCTGATATGAATTCTTTTTGCATCTTATTGTTAATGATGTCTCTGTTATAGGTTGCGTGTTCAACTGAATATTTGTTTTCTTAGAGAATTGTGTTTGTATCCCTGCGGCCCCTGACAGAAAAAAGGGGAGAGAAAAAACTCAAATGGAGTGAATGGATGTGTGCATGAGCAACTTGACTCAATGGTCAAACCTAAGTGCGTTTCTATTTGCCTTGTAGGTTGGAAAGGATGAATTTGGATACATGTTGGCAAACATTTTAAAGCAGAATAATGTTAATATAGCTGGCGTGAGGTTTGATGCTGATGCGAGAACTGCACTAGCCTTTGTTACTCTTAGGGCTGATGGTGAGCGTGAATTTTTGTTTTTCCGTCATCCAAGTGCTGATATGCTTCTTCATGAGTCAGAACTTGATCAAAATCTTCTGAAGCAGGTTTTTATTCTTTTTTTTTTTATGCCTGACTAAAATGTGGTCCAATATCTGTTATTTATGTTTTAACATCTGTCATGTATGTTGTCTGCAGGCTAGGATCTTTCATTATGGTTCCATTAGCTTGATTGATGAACCATGCAAGTCTGCTCATCTTGCTGCCATGAGTATTGCCAAAAAATCTGGTGCTATTCTATCTTATGACCCAAACTTGAGATTGGCGCTATGGCCTTCAGCTGAAGCTGCTCGAAATGGCATAATGAATATATGGGATCAAGCTGATATAATTAAGGTACAGTATACATGAAAGTTAGAGAATAGGATTAATTATTAATCATGTAATTAGTTACGATATGGATAGGATCGAATCTGTCCTTTGTACTGTACAAATATGCTCTGTATAATCCTTATATACGTGTCACAATTGTATTGGATACTCTACATTATATATATCAATGAAGGAGCTGGCCTCCATAACCTGATTCTTCATCAATACATTTATTTTGTCTCTGGTTTTCTATCTATAAATGTTTTCTTCTTCTACTTATTTCAATACATAATTTGACTCTCCCCTTCCCAGAAAGAAAAAAAAAAAAGAGGGAACATTACAGTTGATTTGGTTTGGTGCTTTTATGTTTCTGCAGATAAGTGAGGATGAGATCACATTCTTGACTGGTGGTGATGATCCTTATGATGATAATGTTGTGTTGAATAAGCTTTTTCATCCAAATCTCAAACTTCTAATTGTGACTGAAGGATCAGAGGGTTGTAGATATTATACCAAGGTAAGGTTATCAATTTTTTTTAATTAGAGGGACAAGCACTAATGGGCTGAGATTATAAGTGGGATTGAACCTGCAACCTCCCACTTACAAGAAAGCTCTCATGCCACTAGGCTACAAATACATTGGCCAAAAATTGATTGATTGTCTTATAAGTGGACAAAGCCAATCTTTCATTCATTCGCTTTATTACTCTTTGTCAGTGTATCTGCTTGAATCACATTTGAGTTGACAAAATTTCATGATGTATATAACATCACTTATTTGCTATCCTGACTGAGTCTTGCATGTGCTAATATAATAATTATGAGTTAAATGTAACCAACTAATGTTAAGTAATATAACATTATCTTGTTTGTTAGTCACCCATATTCAACTAACTCTGATTGCTTTTATACAGGAGTTTAAAGGCAGGGTTGCTGGTGTTAAAGTTAAGGCTGTTGACACAACCGGTGCCGGTGATTCATTTGTTGGTGGGTTGTTGTACAGTGTAGCTTCTGACCTTAGCATTTTTCAGGTATGTTAGAAATTTTATGGCAACTGGTTGTTAAATCATTGTAACCCCATGTGTCTCCTGTACATGTTCACAGTTCTTTTCTTGATTTCACTTGTTTCTGGCTAATTTCTGTCTTTCTTTCTTTCTTTTCTTTTTTCTCTACTTTTTTTTTTTTTGATAGACTTTGCTGGCTTATTTCTATTGATGATGGTGTAGAAGTACTGTTTATGACTTCCTAAAAATGTTCAATGAAACATTTAGGAAGATTTTTTTTCCCCCCAGCATAAACTCTGAGACAACTTAATACCAATGCTTTGTGTATATGAATCAATAGCTTGGTAAGGGGTTTTACATTAGGAAGATGTTTGCTTAAGATGAAGTTTTCTCAAGGAACAAATTAGTTCATTTGCATTTATGCATTTATACATTCAGGGAAAATACAAAACAGAAGAGTGTGATTGCAGAAGGTCAAAAAAAAAAAATTACAAAAGAATGTGATTGTGTGTGAGGTCGACATCCCATATCTATACCATCATCTCTTCCTTCTGTATCTTTATTTTTTACTTTCACTTTTGTGAATGTATGATTCTTCCTGTGAACAGTCTTGTTTCTTCATCTCTTTTTGGGTGGTTTAATATTCAAGGGCTTAACCCTTCGTTTGGATAGGGAGAAAAATATGAAGGAAGAAAAACTAAGAGGAAAAACTCCTAAAAATGGTTTTAAAAAAAAACTATTTTTGAAAATTTCTCCTCCTAGTTTTCTCTCTCTTCCCTTATTTTCTTCCCAATTTTCTCCCCATTTAAGCCAAGGCTAAATGTTTTTCACTCTGCGCAACTTGGTTTTCGAGGAATTAACGTATTTATTCCACATGGCAGGATGAGAAGAAATTAAGAAAGGCACTGTACTTTGCCAATGTATGTGGTGCCCTCACTGTAACACAGAAAGGAGCTATTCCTGCACTGCCTACTAAAGAAGATGTTCTTCAATTCATGCTTGAAACAACAACAATATAGCACCAAGGAGAGTTTTTTTTTTTTTTTTTTAAGAAAAAACGTCATTTACTATTTGATGTTCTTGTTAAGCTATGTGTAGGGCTTAGGTAATGCTGAGCTACTTGTATCTCTCTCTCTCTCTCTCTCTCTCTCTCTGTTCAGTCTGCATTACTATTATATAAGTTCAGTTCAATTTGCTCTCATGTCCTCTTGAGGGACCCATTTATATCTTCCCATTATTTTCCAATTCTTTTCACAAACCTCCAAGGCATAATAAGATATACTGACAAACTTCCATTGAATTTTGCTTTTTTGTTTTTGTTGTAAATCAAAATGAAATCCTTGGCTTCTTGTGATGGTAGCTCATGGGAGAGGTTATGGTCATACAGACATTTGAAGATCATATTATAACCATTTGTTACCATAATTCATAACAATGCTTAAATGTAATGTAATTGAGTTCTATCAAACATTAATTATTAAGTAGTAAATATGAGATTTCATGGATCTCACTTATTAGCAATTTGAGTCACTTTTCTTTTTTACTTTAAATATCATATGCCTTCAATCACTAAGAAAGATGATTGTGGAAGCAGTCGCTAATTATCTTGCCACTCTTCAAACGTAGAAAATTAAAATAGTAAATGTAAAAACATTGGTACAAATATAAAATTACAAGAGTTGAAATCTTCAGATTCTTTCAGTTGCCTAAAGCTCAAAGATTACAGATTGGAATCCTATTTGTTCAAATGAAAAGATTAGATGGAGCATGTTATTTACTCACATCAACTAAGTTTCACCAAATCATCCTTGCATTAAATTTTTTTTATGGCATGTATAAGAAATTGGCTTTGCTAACTGCAAGGAATATCTTTTTCAAGGTGCTGAGATAGTATTGAGAGTAATAAGTAAACATTTTCTAATTAAATTGATACATATAGGAGGGTTAAAGTTTAAATTTTCAACCACTTGCTTAAATGATGAGAGTTTATATCATTTATGTTAACTTTTGTTGATATGTTAAATTTTTAAGCAAGAATGATAATTAAGTCCCAAAACACTAAATTAATATGAGTTGAGTTCCTAACAAATTTTTTTACAAAGTGAATTATAAATATCAATTTGAACAATTACAAATTGAAATTTTTATTACAATCTAAAAGTTATATTTGATATTTAAATACTTATTTATGATTAAAACTCTTGAATTTGTAATAATTTAAATTGATATGTTTAACTTATTTTTTTAAAAAATTTTGTCTAGGACTTAACTGGTATTAATTTAGTATTTTGCGACCTAATTGTCATTCTCCTAATTTTAAAGCCTCTTATTATTGACTTCTCACCAAAATTTGATCAACTCTCTCTCCCTCTCATCTTCAGAAATGGATTTGGCTAAGATTTAACATCCATATGTCTAATATGTGGTTTTCAGGTTAACTAATCACTATTAAGGATCTGCTAAATGAAATTTTGGAATAGGAAAAAATGACAATTAAAAATCTTATAAAAAGATTAATGTAAAATAAGGGCTAGTATAAAAGTTACAACTAGTTACAAACAGAAATTTTTATTACAATCTAAAAATTATATTTGATATTTTAATACTTATTTATAATTAAAACTCCTGAATTTATAATAATTTAAATTGGTATTTTCAACTAATTTTTCAAAAAAAAAATCAGAGACTTAACTTGTATTAATTCAATATTTTAGGACCTAATTATTATTCTTTCAATTTTTAAGCCTCTTGTTAATGACTTCTCACCAAAAATTTGATCATCTCTCTCTCTCTCTCTCTCTCTCATCTTTAGAAAGGGATTTGGTTAAGATTTAACATCCATATGTTTAATATGTGATTTACAGGTTACCTAATCACTATTAAGAATCTACTAAATGAAATTTTGGAATAGGAAAAAATGACAATTAAAAACCTTATAAAAAGATTAATGTAAAACAAGGGCTTGTATAAAATAATAAAACCCTGAATTTCCAAATCTACAGCTCTCTCTCGCACACATACACATGGTTTTTTTAACCCTATTGCAACAATAGAAGCTTTCAAACTCAACTTTTCTAGATGGGAATGTGACCAGAAAAGAGACTTGCTCTGGCTGATTTTGCATTCCGACAGCTTCTAAAGATCGAAGAAAATTGCCTCCGAAGCATCCAAAAATTCCCTAAATCCATCAACCTACAAACACCCATCGAATTTGAATTGCCATGTTTGGGTCTAAGTCTAGAACGTCCATTTGTGGGAGTTGGTCTTGGGCTGGTATTTCTTGAAGAAATCTTGGCTTGAATTCGTTCAAATTCTTTCGCATTTCTAAGGATTTGTGTGAAACTAAATTTTATACCCATATGATGCACGGCAATATTAATCCACATTATTTAAAAAAATGAAAGATAAGAATGAAAGTTTAGTTTTATTAATTTTTTCAAAAAATACTAAAAAAAACTACAGTTTTTTATTTCTTTAATAACTTCTATTAATTATATTTTTTTCATTCCTAGTATAATATTAGAATTTTTTTAGTTATTAGAATACATAAATATAAATAATAATTTATTTTATTTTCACAAAATATACAAAAAATATTACTTCCATTTTATTTTAAAAATATAAAGTATTTTTAACTGAATCTTACCTCAGTAAAATAGTCAATTATTTTTAAACTAATATTATCTTTTTATATTTACCTTTATTTAATAGTTGAATATTTTATTTTAAATTTTATATAAAGTAATTTATTTATTATGAGCATATTTTAAAAAAAGCACATTAATTATGCATTGAAACACTAAAAAAGCCTTATATTTTTTAACATTCAATATCCAATTTCTAAACCCTCAAAAAATACCTTATTTTTTTATATAAGGTAGTACAATTTAAATTTTAAAAAGCTAAAACATAAAATATAATTTTAATTTTAATTTATGTTATTAAAATTTATTTTTTTAAAAAAATTTAATTTGTAATGAAAATTAAAAAAACATTTGCCTCTGATGGCACAGTAGAACTACATTGACAATCCAACGTAAATAATGTTATGAAAATCAGACCAGCTATTAAACTGATGGAGGCATTGGTTCATGGTTCAGTGGTTTGCTCAAAGTTGAACTAAATGCAGTTAAATTAATATATTTAAATCTTATAGAGAAGTTTAAATTAATTTTCTTATTTTTCTTAGAGTTTCAAAATCATTGTTGATTTTTTAGGATGGTGATCACACATATTTTAAAGGAAACAAGAAATAAATTTGTTTCAAGATTTGTAAATAAATTTTTGGATGAATATAAATTAAAAAATGTTTACATGTAAATAAATAAGCCCAAAGAATCAATTAAAAAAGAGATAGAAATGGGTGTATTCTTGTTTTTGATGTTGGTCATTCAGCATTTTTTATAAGCAAAGTATAAACAAATTAAAATGATATCATATGAAACAAAAATATAGATGAATAGTTGGAAGAATGTAGATAAAAGAAATGTTCATACATGAGAAAATGAGCCTAAGGAACTAACCCAAAAAAAAAAGAACAAAAATGAGGAGAAAAAAATTAAAAAGCAGCTAGCATGGATATGTTATTGAGGGAATATTCCCACATTGCTTGAGTAAAGTGAGGCAAGGCACGCTCTCATCTATATAAAGGAAAGAAGTGGTGACACTCAAGGAGTGCTATTGGGTGACAACTTGCATGAGCTGTGGATCCAGCACATACTACTTAACTTTTTGAGAGAATGACAATTAAAAACCCTTAAGAACATTAATTTTAATTAGGAACCCTAAAAAATAGAAATTTCAATTGAAGACCATGGTCTTTAATTGGGATAAAAAATAAACCTGAGTTTACAAAACTATCCCCTCACAAAATATTAAAAGGTAACGAGAAAAAGAATAGATGTATGTTGTGAACGTGCTTAAAGTGACTTAGGAATTTATTGTTAAAGGATAAGTCTTGCCACAAGTTGGGTTCCAACAAAATCACTTGGAAACGTTATAACCTAACTTGGAAAAAAGGTGAACGCATGTTTTGAAAGAGCCTAATGTGACTTAAAAATTGACTGTGTAAGGATAAGCCATCTGACACAAATTTTGTTCCAGCAACCTCACATGAGAATTTGGTAACATATGTTGGAAAAGTAACTAACATATATTGTCAAAGTTCCTAATGTGACTTGAGAATTTATTATTTGATGAAAACTGACATGGCACAAGTTGGGTTCCAGTAAAGTTTCTTGCGAATGTCCTAACCTAACTTGAGAAAAAGCTGAACGTATGTTTTGAAAAAGCATAACGTGAATTGGGAATTCATTGTGTGAGGATAAGCCACTAAGCACAATTTGTGTTCCACCAACCTCACGTGAAAATTCCATAACATATGTTGTGAAAAAAAATACACAATCAACAACAAACACAAAATTAGTCTCGCCCCCACTAAAGAACAGACAGAGGGAGGGAAGGAGAGAGAGAGGCACCGAACCTGGAAGAAGAGAAGAAGGGGCACCGACCACAAAGCACGCATACCAAACCAAAAATGGGAGCAACAATAGAGGACCTCTCACCAGTGACTGTGCACCCTTGGATCTGATATGGAGAACTCGATCAACGACAAAGCAGACGACTGAGCAACGATGAAAAGAGGCAACCAAGGAAGACTTTAAAATAGAGCACGAATAGGGCTCTCTCATGCGTGGGTACCTTTGTTTTGAGCTCAGGGGCATTTTCAACAATTCTAATTATTTTTTATCCTAATTAAGGACCACAGTTCTTATTTGGGGTTTTTATTTTTTAGGGTCCTTAATTGAGATTAATATTCTTATGGGATCCTTAATTGTCATTTTCCCTAACTTCTTTTTCCCCTCTCATTTGACCAGCTTTCTTTTACCTTTTATCTTTTTCTTTTGTGTTTTGCGTTTTCCTTCTCCCATTTAGTGTTATCCGAAATAATAAATGAAAAAAATATAAAATGACATCATATTTATAAATTAAAAGAGAATTAAAAAAATTAGAGTGAATTGTTTTGACTGTTTAAAATGTCAGTTTTGACTGTTTAGTCCTATTCATGGCCGGTATAGGCGGTTTGCAAATGATTCTCTCCTCCCTTGATTGTGTAGCAGTTTCGAATTGGCTATCTAACCAGTTCTTGATTGAACTAACCGATCCTGTTTAGTTCTAATAACCATGCATAAAAGTACAAAGGAGGGGGATTTCAAACTTGTTTTTACCCAAAAAGAAAAATTATTTTTATCAAGTGTTGGGGGAAAGGGATCATGACTATTTAAATATAAACTTTTGAGTTATATTTTGAAAAAAAAAAACTTGTCATTTAGTATTTATTGACGTTCCCCTTCTCTTTTGTATTTTCAAAATAATTTTTCATTTTTTTTAGATTTTACATATATTTTTTCTTTCAAACTAATTCAACTTTCTTTAATTCTTAATATAAATCACTTTAAACTAAAATAAGTTAATTGTATCATTAAAATAGTTTACAAATTGCTTTGGCTTTCACTCTTGCCTTGATAAATACCATTTTTATTTTGGTCAACGATGAGTACCACAAATTTAAAAACATATAGGCCAGTTTGGTTGTTATTTTTAAAAATAATTTTTTGTTTTTAATAGTAGAAAAGTAAAAAATTAGGTATTTTGAATTTAATTATTTTTAAAATTATTCTCATCTTTTATTTTTTAAAAACATAAATATTTTATGGCTGTTTTCATTTTTTTCCTTTTTTTTAATTACAGTTACTTTAACCAGTGATTATCTTAAACCACCACAATTAACCACACTTATCAGAACCAGTTTCAAGGCTCATTATCCTGATAAGCATCATGCACTCATTAGGCTTATGAGATTTGGACTGTCCATATTTTACTCTGGACTGTCTAGATTTAAGGCTTTTATTTTTTATTTATATTTATTAAAATAAAATTATAAAAAATTTGCTTTGTCATTAGTTTATATAATTCAAATTTAATTTAGATGGTCTAGTATTACTTCCTCCATTCAAAAATATAAGACATTTTTAACTGAATCTCACTATCTAATAAAGTGGTTACCTACTTTCAAATTAATCCTATTTTTTATATTTATCCCTATTAAACACCTTATAATAAATATAAAGTCATTGTTAATAAGGGTATTTTTGAAAAAAAAAGTAATGATTACACCTTGAAAGACTAAAAATGCCTTATATTTTTAACATCTAACTAATCAAAAAATACCTTATATTTTTTAATAGAGGGAGCAAAATTTTTTTGAATTTTATAAATTATTTATCCAGATGGACTGTTGATAGTCTAAATTTAATATTATTTTTGTAAAACTTTGATAAATTTTTATTTTGTAAACATAATATTAAAATTAAAGATAATCTTCAAAGTGGAAATTTCAAAAAAAATATTTCTATTAATGTGAATTTTAGAATCAAATCAAATAAACAGTCTAACATTTATGATATTTTATATTATAGCTGATTTATTATATTTGTTAATGATATATCATTTTATATTAATGATAAAGCTTTACAAATTTTTAAATTTTCAATGATAACCCCTTGTATTTAATCTAAAATTATTTATATTAATATAATATAAAAATAATAATTGATGCACTTCTCATATAATTTGAAGACAGTTTTTGAGATTTTTAAAAGGAGAAGAAAATTTTTTTGGCAGTGACGTAATTTCATTTATTTTAATTTATAAATGATAAGAACATAATTTACAGTGAGAATAATTGACTTTAAATATATAAAACAAATCTTTCCTCCTTTCTTTCTCTTATTTTATTTGGGCAAAACGGAGTCTGGTGCTAAGCCATTTCTTGGTGCGTCATTTTCTGTAATGAACGTGGTTAGAATGTGCAGAAACAGAGCGTTTTCGGAAAAAGACTCATAACTGAAGCGAAGCCGCGAAGGCAAATCCTTCTTCTCGATACTCACATTGTCCGAGTACCAGTCTGTTACCTGCTGAATTCGAAGCCGAAGACGCGGTTTCCTTCCTCAGTTATGGCTTCTAATCCTTCGCTTCTCCCCGAGATCGGTCCCGATGGTCTCACTAGAGAAGCTCCTGTCATTAGCTACACCGAGAAGGTTCTCTTCTTCCTCTTTCGCGTTGCTTAATTTCTTAAATCTATGATTTTCTCTTACTTACTGGATTTTATTGCAGATCATCGAGGCAGAGCAGCTTCAATTAAAGAAGTAACTTCTCTTTCTTCTTCTTCTTCTTCTTCATTTCTTTCCCAGCATTGTAGTCTGGATCTTCCAGGTTTCCATGCTAGACGTTTATTCATTGTATAGTTGCCTCTTGAACCTCTGATCTCTGTTGATATACGCTGATTAGTCTACTCCAAAGTAAGAACCGCACTATGATCATTACGCTTTTAGAAGGAATTTCAATTTGTCTCATTGTATCTTGTTCAGTGAAGAATATGTCTTCAATTATGGTTGGATTACTTGTAAGCTGCATAAGTTCTCTATTATTTTCAGATACATTGAAGAGAACTACTCTAAAATTCGTGATGTGGAACGCGAGCTTGCAAATCTTACGTTGGAGGTGAAACTCACTGCTGGGCCAAAGAAAGCAGGTTTCTATACTATCATTGTTATTTGCTCTTTCTGGTACAAATATTGCAAATAATTCTTAACTGGTCGTTATAGAATTATGACATTGCTTCTCTTTTGTAATGATGCATACTTTTAAGCACTTGAACTTCTGAGGAAGAAAATTGAGGCATCAACTGAGAGAATTCGTGTGGCCAAGCAAAAGGAAGAACAAGCACAAAAGGTTTGCTACTTGTATATTCAACTCTTCTCCCACAGTTACCATATCATGGAGGCGTAGATGCATGCCAACACTTTTTTAGCGTGCAACTCTGGATCTTATGTTTACAGTTAGCACATTGATGGGACTCCATAACTTCTGCGTGCTTACAGTAGACGGAAATAAAGGGATAGGATAAAGGGAAAGTAGGATGTTATTTGTGCTAACTTCTTGTCTATGTGCTGTGTGTGTTTATTTGCAGTTGAGTCAGTTTTTTTGTCTTATGTCCGCTTTCATTAATTAATGTAATTAGTCTCCAGGTGTCAGTTGTTAATGTCCAGGTGCCAGTTATTTATGCGTTTAGCATATGTTGTCCGTTAAGAATGTGTTCAAAGGGAAGGCGATGAATATTAAGTGAATTGTGTAGAGATTCTCCCTTGGCTTTAGAAGATTTATGGGTTAGATTCTAACTCATGTATTTTCTAAAGATTCTTTAGCCTTCAAAACGTGGGGTGGGAGGGAGTAAGATGGAGAAGTGAGGACCTCATGCTGGAGATCCCACTGTGACAAATCCACTCTCTATGATCCCCAATTCTTCTTCTCTCTTAAATCTATCTATTCTATCATTTTCTTCACTGGCTTTAGATTATTAATCTGACTATTTAATCTTGTAAAGGTTCTTCTTCCTCTTCTATCCTAATATATCTTCTTCTAAATCCTCTAATCCTCTGGTTCTGAATAATCATTTCACCATATGATAGAGAGAAAACTTTTTTTTTTTTTTTTGCATTTTATTTAAACAAGAGTTCATGGATACTTGATTATGACTCTTTTGATTGGGTTGTAAAATGTAAATAGTTTTCTCTTTTACCAAACAAATGTAAGAGAGAAAAAGATAGGAGGTAGAATCAAGAGAGCAATAAGAACAGAAATTTAATACTTTATCTATATCTGAATACGAGTTTTGATAAATAGGAACAGGTGGTAATCTGTTAGTACGTAGTAGGCAAACTGATGAGCTTGCTGTCCCTAGAACTTGTTTTTGAAGGGATAAGGAGAAAAATGAAGAAGTTAGGACTTTATGTGTAAGCCCAACCGAGGCCATTGATACAATAATTTACTTTTGAAGAGGGAAAGTGGCAAGATGGCTGGGAGGGCAGAAAAGGAATTAGGAGGTGGTGGCAAGTTAATTCTATTTTTGTTTGACACAATATTTGCTTGCAAGCTTAGGGCCTTCAGAAAAAGATATGCTCATACAAGATTTGAGTTTCAGCATAGCATTCCCTCGCTCATTTGAAACAGAAAGCTCATGATCAATAAAATACTTTAGAAAATTGGTCTCTGCTTGCTTCTTCAGAATATTATTAACCTTTGTCTAAAAATAGCTCTCTTAAGAAAATTAACAATGATCAGCAACCTGAATATAGGACATGAAACTGCGAATAATTAAAAGGGCTAAGAGAATAGAAAGAAGACGCCACTATGTACAAGAGTTCAGACATGAACATCAATCTTCCTACAGTAACTTAACAAACTTTTTCCAAACAGGAAGGCTTTATTTAAAAGCCTTTACAACTGATAATAAACCTACTAACAACCTATTCCAAGCAAGTTTTAACTACTAGATTTTTCCCAAGGACCTGGCAGAATTCTTAAAATAAGAAATATAATTCTCATGTAGAGCTTCTCACAATAACTCCTTATAGAGTAGATACTCATTATCAGATCACATATCTGTGACAAAATATGAGAATATCTCAAACTGGTGATTCCTCTACTCTTCTTTCTCTAATTCAACCTTCAATGGAGGTTGGCATCTTTCTCTCTTTTTGAATGTTTAAGACCAAAGTTACTCCCTGCTCCATTTCTTTAGGCATTGTGTTTTATTCATTGGAAAGGAAAATATGAGTTGGTTGTAAATCAAAATTGAATAAGAGAAGAGCATGAATATTTTAAAAGGTCAAATAAGATATGCCCTTTTCTACTATTTGTGATAGAAATAGATGCAGGCTCGGAAATAGATCTGGTGGAACATGGGATAGGATATAATTAGGGTTAATTTATTAGGATTATTTGAATAAGGATATATAGAATATCCCTTAGGTTAATTAGGATTTAATTGGATTTTCTGATCAACATCATTTTAGTATAGTTTTAGATTTTATTTATTTTCAATAAAATAGGATAAATAGGCAAATCTAGATTATCTTGTTATATTTTAAGCGTAGGGCTAGGATCTGATTTATTATTATTTTAATTTTAATATTTCTAAGGCTTTATAAATAGCGCCAAGGTTACTCAATGTAGTCAGACTTTGATTAATTGAATAAAGGGTTGCATATTTTTCAGCCTCCTCCTTCTTTCTCCCCCTTTTTTTCTCTGACTCTCTCTCCCCTTTTCCTCTCCCTGTTTCACATCAAGATCACACTAGTAATCTTTAGCTAATAACCACTGGTAAACACTCATGCAAATTTCCAAACTTACCTTTCTATATCGTTGACTGGTCATTGTCAAAACATCACTATATTAAAAATAATAATAAACAAGTGGGATCTGAAGGAATCTTAGAGAACCTAGATCTGAGGTAGAGGCTTCATGCATTTTCTTGAGGACATCTAGGAAGAGGTCTACCCTCTTGAAATCTAGTACTTATTCCTTCTTTTGTCCTTTGTTGGATGTTATATTTTGATATGATTACAACTCTTCCCAAAACCTATAGTAGGTGTGCTAAGACGAGGGGGGGTGATACAGAAAAGGTTAAGGCTAGTGGATGGAAAGATTACAACAGAGTTTATACTCAAAATGGTAAGGAAAAGGGGACAAGGACTGAGGTAGGACAGATATAGGTAGGGACAGCGTTTTGGAGTAGTTGGAAGTAACTTTTTGATAGATATCTCACGCCAGAGGAGATTTTGTAGATCTGAAGTTGGAAGTGGAGAGTTTTTGGCCTCTTGAAAGTCTGGTTCACTTCCCTTTGTTATATTTTTGTTCTGTATTTGTGTAATCCCTTATAGTCTGTGTTGATTCGTGTCTGTAAACACGTGTTGAATTAGAGCGTATTGAGTTTATGGTTTTTTGCTGACATCAGCTCTGATAGTGTAATATTTATCAATGAAAGATCAAAATCCATGTTGTTCCATCAGTTCTTGCTTTCTATTATCTTTTCTTTGAATTTTATGTTGGGTCCTATCATATTTCTTCTACTGCTACATCATGTTTACCTTTTCTCGTATATAATAGATTTGTTGTTGTCACTGCTATTTAGGGATGGTAGTGCAGTGACGCAGGGTTGGGGGGTGCTTTCTTACCCCCTTTACCTGCCATCAATTGATATCCCTGTTTCCATCCCCATTTTAGAGGGAATGTTCCCTATATCCACATTCCCTGCATCCCCACTGATCCCTATGGGGGACTCTGAGGGCAACAAAGCCATAGATTCTGCTTAGAGGCATAATCACATCTCTACAATGAAGGGAGGTCAAAGATCAAAGAAGGGGCTTTTACTATTAGATGGGAGGTTTATAAATATAATTTGAGAAGGTTTCTAGTAATCTAGTGTTCTGCTTTTATATTTAACATAATAAGATCCTGTTAATAGGAGTAATGCAAATAGCTGACTGAGGTTCTATTACAAACCTAATTTGGTAATTAAATCATAGCAAGTTCGCAATCCACATAAATTTATTACTCCATATTCCTTACACATGTAACATTCCATTTTCCATCATGGTGTTTGCTAAAGGAGCAAGACTATGTTCATGGATATAAAATTTCCAAATCATGAGTTATAATGGCAATGGTTATGCGTCTTAGCTCCTCCATGAGCGGCTTGATATATTGATTCCATATGACTTGCATAAGGGCAATTTCTACTGTCTATAGCCATTATTTAGTCTATGAACATTGGAGATTTAAATGTAATTAATATTATCACTACATGCTCATGTAGAAATCTTTGACGGCATGTGCTATAGGTATGGGAAGCAGCATCAAAAGCCGTGAGGGATGAAGAGGCTATCAAACAGAAGCTATGTGAAGACTTGAACAACCTGGTAGCGAGATTGTCAAATGAATACCTATTATGCTGCATTATAATTGGCTATTTGATACAAAAATGGTTTACAGGTCCAAGAGAGCAGTAACAGTCAGTTTGCTAGGCTGGAGGAATTAAAACGACGGTTGGAAGCTTTGAATCCAAGTAGAGCATCAACCACTGTTCATCATGTATGTTTCCGTTCCCACCTTTATGATTTTCAAATCTCTATAATAGCAGTAAGTCAGTAACCTGGTCTGCAAGAACTTTGTCTTCAGTGCTCTTGGGGATGGGTTGATTCTGAGGTTGAACGCTCTGTAATAGCAGTAAATGGGTGATCCTCCTTGATGGCTTTCACTGTTGACTTGAGAAGTATTCTAGTGAACAAGTGAGGCTTCCAGTGATTATAATTATACACAGCGGAATCCCTCGTTATTTGCTGAAGCTTCTAAGATAAAATAATGATTCAGTTGTCAACTAGGCAGGCAGTTCAAACCAAAGTTTCATAATTAACTATTATAAGGATGGATATTGCATAATTTTGATAACTGCTTCAAGAAATACTACTCAGTATTAGATGAGATTATTAGTGTGGAATTAATAGTTAGTAATCTCTTTACAGTTCGTTAGCATTTCAGGCCAATTTTATCCCTATAACTGAGGGAATAGATGGATATAATAAGGAAGATGAATTGAATATTATTGTGCTTTCCCTTTCTTCTTTACTAGTATTTACTGTTAACATTTGATTGGTAGCAAAGGAAACTGGTTGAAACTACTACTTACTATATCTTTAAATGAAGTTCTCAAGGGAATGGATGGGTGTAGGCACAAGACCTGATCTCTGTGCTGAACTTTGCATTAAAATAAATATTTTTTTTGGCCAGATATTGAATTAAATAGTTGAAGATTCCTTGGTGTCTGAGTTTAATGTGCATGTGCATGTATCATTTTATCTAATGTTATTGTCCTGAGCGCATGCGTTTTGAATTAAGGTTCCCGTAGCTAGATATAAAGAGATCGAAGACCAACTAGTGTACCGATAAATAGCCCTTTGTTTTTTTGTGATTGGAAGCAAGGAAATCAGGGGAAAGACGTGCATTTTAGAAATTGTCTTCTTTTGTTGTTTACTGTCGATTCTACATTATTTTTGTTGTCTTGAATGTGGTGCTTGTCCCCTGATTTATGCCTCTGAATATGCATATCAGGCCAGTCAATTTTATAGCCCCTTTCACTTTCTTCTCAGGATAATACAATCAAAGATTCGTCCTCTGTTCCCAGCATAAGGGAACCGAATGGGGGTTCAGCCGACAGTGATTCCGACCAAATTAACGAGCAGAAAGACCCAGGGACAAATGGACATAGTCAGCAGCCTCCTAATGAGGGAGGAGGAAGAGGTAAAAAGAAAGCTAACTTCCAACTAAAAGGAAAGGGAATCGGTGCAGTGGCTAAAGGTCGATCATCGGCTCCTGGCTGGACTGGAGCCGGGTTTGATGTGGATGGTAGAACATGATGTCATGATCTGTCAGTATAAGCATATTGGATGAGAAGTCATTACTTTCCCGTACCAAATATAGTTTTCAGTTCATCAATTGTATGTAACCATGTACTGCTTATCATGACAGCTTGTTGATACAGAATGAGGGGCCTTTCTTGTGTCTTTCAGGCCAGAACAAATCAATATTGTAAGTCACATTTGCCCTTCCGATGAGTTAAATCACTTACATGTTGATTTCTTGGTTTAAGGATGATGCTGCTGTAATATTTTCCTTTTTTAAAACAAATAATGCAATGACAGTCCTTCCATGGTGTTTCATTTCACGTGACCTGAGAAGGGTTGAGTTGTGAAGAAACTACATATTCTCGAAACATGATGTTGAAGATCATCTTATACCTTATTATAAGTTTATGTCACGACCTAGTGTGGGTCTAAGAAGTTTATGATCATAAATAATGTGGCTTGTTTGAGATTTTATGATATATATATATATATATATATATAGTCTTATTCCACTGTTGACTTGCTTTCGAACTTCATATGTAAGATGATGGGGGGCATTGGATAGCCAAGAAGTTTATGGATTTTTGGGTTGCGTTCATGTTTATTCCTCTGCTTTAATTGCTTTAATCTGGAAAATGGAAAACACTTGGAAAATCTGATGGAGAAAAGTGAGAACATCGAAGATCATTGGGAATTTATTGGGATCAGATTTGTTTTTAACATCTCTCTCTAGATTGAAATATAGGATGTTTTTTTAGAAGTCCCACTTGATTCGAAATATAAAGCATGGAATAGGTTTTATTTTTTTTTTTCAATATACCTCTAATATATTCCATTCAAGTAATTAATGATATTATTTGAATAAGACAAATATTATATTAATTTCACTTAATGGGAAACAAATTTTTTAGAAAATCAAGATTTTAACTAAATTTTTTATAAATATCAATTAGATAGTAACGATTTAAGTTTGACCCTACTAAATTTTAGAAGATATCATCCAAAGAAAATGAATAAATTTTATCATATTTACATATAAACCGATTAAGTTTAATGTTAATGAAAATGGGCTAGGCTGATCGGTTTAACCAGAGCTGGTCACATGTCCAACCGAAGATATGTGGAAATCAAAGGGTCAAAGAATTAGCGGTGAACTGGTCAAAATCGGGAAGTTCAAATGATTGAACCGGACTTTTTTTATTTTAAAAATTTTTATTTCATGCTTGATAAGCTATGTTTGATTTATGTATATGTATACCTACAAAGTATTAGGGAAAAAAAAAATGAACGAACAAATAACAAATATGAATGTGTGTGTGAGCGTTCTAAGATTATAAATCATAAAATAAATACATATTTTGGATGAAAATTATGGAGGATTAACATTTTTTTCACTATAAAGTACTGTTAATTGGATTTAAACGTTCATTTTTATTACTATGAATTAATATTTTTTATTTTGAGCATGTTATTTTAAATATATTAATCTATTTATGGTTGGCTTAATCATGAGTTCACAATCTAACCATTGAACCATGAATATTTTGTCAACTTGTTTTCTTGACATTGATTATGTTTAGAAATGACTATAGACTAAAATAATATAAAGTCCTCAAACTCATCCACTATAAATTATATGAAGATTTTGTAGTATGTCAAATGTGGATGGTGATCCGCTCATCGAATGTCACTGAAACCGATATTTTGGCTTCACAATACTTTGTCTTCACCTGAGAGCTGAAATTCATCAGACTAAATAATGGAAGCATCGTACATATATTATTCTTTTTCCAAATGAATTAAATCATGGAAGTCGGGTCATGTAGGGATTGTTTTGTTGCAAACTTTTTTCAACTAAAGCATCATTGATTCATTGTACTACTGGAATGAAAAGGTGGAATGTAAATTCCGGCCTTAACAATTCGGCCTTTTGAAAATTGGCCCAAAACCTTGAATTGCTAGGACATTTTTGTAACCTTTTGTTTTTTAAAAGGTTACCTCAATTTTTACCTTGAAAAAAATCAAGTACTCAACTTCAATCTTTTTGTCAATTTTATTAATTAATGTATTTTTAATTTATTCCTACCTTCATAAAAATATTTTTAATCTAGTTCAATTTTACTAATTATCAATTTTATTAATTAATATATTCTCTGAAAATAATTGTATTTTAAAAGTGAAAGATAAATTTTTATCATGTTCACCACTTCATTCACTCTCTCTTCTTCCTCTCATAACTCCACCTCCACTCATGCCCTCATCATCAAGGTTGTATAAAAGTCATTCAGTCTATACAACTTATTCTAATATGAACAAACCCAATTCAGTTTGATCCTATAAAAAAAATAACCTAAAAAACTAAAAAAATCAGTGAGACTAAACTTTATCTTTGGGTTGAATTGGATAGAGAATCAAGCTTTCGGACCACTTGATCTAATCCAGTCTTATAAAATTATTTTAATATAATCAGTGGTAAAATCAATTGATTTATTATGATCAACTTTAATGTTTTGTAATAAATTTTATATGGTTATAAGTATTTTTGTTATCTTAAGTGTTTATCAAGTTGAAATGAATTGTTGCTTCTCATAGAGGGGAGAAAAAAAAAAGGCAAAATGAGGTGATTGTGACCAATCTCTCAATGCTATAAACTAATTCTAGCCTTGTTCAACTTTGGGTTAAGTCTGGATCACAGCAGATTACGGGTTACCTAACTTAGTCTTTTTCATAAAAGAGATCTAAAGCTTGTTTGACAACCTGTTTTAAAAATAGTTTTATATTTTTCAAAATAAAAAAAATTATGTTCGATAACGTGTTTTTAAAAAATATTTTGAAGAATAAAAAAATTAAATATTTTTTTAGAGAATAAAAAATTAAAAACATTTTTTAGGTGTTTTGCAATTATTGTTTTGAAAAACAAGAGGAAATTAGGATAAACATTTATTTTATTTTTTTCAAAATGTGCTCTACAAAACACCAGTTCTCAAAACAATGAAATCAAAGCAATTTCAAACAGGCCCCAAACTACAGGTTAGGTTGAAGCAATGTTATTAGAACTGGTCGAATCGATTGGTTGAACTGGGAACCGACCATAGATTTGGTTCAATTATACCCAAAAGCCTCTTATCCTATGAAATCATCCATGAATTGGTTGAACCATATGCGAACCAGCCAAAATTGATAAAATTGATGGGAAACCAATTGAACCAGACATGTAATTTTTTATTTTTTTATTTTTAATTCATATTTCTAAAATATAATTTATACATGTTTATACCTAATAAGCATTATAATGACAAATGCAAGAAATATGTATTTTAAAGTTATAAATTATAAATTATAAATTATAAATTATGAAATAATTATATATATATTGAATGAAAATAATGTAATATTGATGAATATTATCTTTTTAATTGTATATTGTCTTATTTGAAATTTAAATATTCACTTTTCTTATTACATATGATTATTTCTTTTTACTTTAAATATATAATATTTAAAATATGTTAATTTATTTATGACTGGTTGAATCATAAAATAGACTACAATCCAACCATTGAATTGGGAATCGATACCTCAACTGGCTCAATAATTGATCCTATTTTCATAACATTGGGCTAAAGTCATGTCCTGTTAATTCTTTGTACAATCTAACTTAACATTATAAAAAAAATCAAATGTGGGTTTTCAAGCCAGTCCAAACTTGATTGGACTTGGCATCATATTTTAGAGCCTATTTAAGCTAACTTGAAAAACTTAATTACAAGAAAAAGTATAATTTTCTCAAGTTAAATTCTAAAAATTTTCAAGCTATCCTCAAATTTACTTTGAATTATCAATTCTAATTTTCTTGAGAAATCCAAAAAAGAACAAAACACGTCGAGTCCGGAATACTGCAAACATGGTGGGACAAGCCATCAAATTTCTCATTTAATTTGGACTTTCCTACGGGTAAAGTTAGCTCATAAGCTTTGAGATAAGCCATGTTATTTACTATTTGTGAACATAAAAAGATTGTTTATATTTTTAGGAAGAATCACGTTCAAAACTTGACAAAAAATTTATTCACAAATAAAAACCTATATAAAATAGATTGTTGTTATGGACTTTTTTTTTTAAATGAAATTTGTTATTGACTATTATCTGTGAATGAGTTTATTGTTAGGTCCTTGAATATGATACTCCCTATTTTATTTTTATATCATTTTATTAATTTTTTTTATAAGATTTGGGAATCTATATTATGCGTTCCTTTAATTTGCCCCTCGCACTGATACCTTAACATTTTGAAATTTATCATAGCTAACAAAAAAATAATAATAATAAAATCCTTCCAAATTATAAAAACAATAATTTAATCCTTGAAGATATCATAATTTTAATAAAGTCTTTTGGGTCTTTTTTGTCAATAAATTTTAAATTAAAAATACTATTTTACGTGTATTGATAATTTATAATTTCTTGTTCAATTTTTGTAATTCACAAAACAGAAATTATTATTCCTCAAGTAAAAGTTGTAATTGAGATTTGTTTTTCAATAACCAAAACTATAATTGACAAATCATGATTTTTTGTTCAATTCTTATGACTTACAGTAATTTTTTAAATAAAAGTTATGAATGAAATTTGTTATTTTTAGTAAGGATAAGTTATCTTTTCACTAAAAAAGTTATTAATAAAGAGGTCCCTAAAGATTTCATGAAAATTATGATATTTTAAGGAACTAAATTATCATTTACATAATTTGGAGGGATTTTATTGTCATTTTTCTAACAAAAAATTTGCCGTTAACTTATACAATTTAAATCTAATTATTCTTGTGGGAAAATTACATACAAGTCCTATACAAAAAAGTTAATTACTGCGAGGTCTGTTAACATTAGGTGATTTACAATGCTAGTTGTTAACGGACCTTACAATAATTAATTTTTTTATATGAAACTTTAACGTAATTCTCCCTATTTTTTCAAGTTTAATTATTAATTAATAAAAAGTAATTTAAAAATAGGATAAATAAAATTGGGAGACTGGCAGTGAGAACCCAAAGGAGAAAAAAAATTAGAATATTCAGTTACGTCCCACCCTTCTACTATTCTTTTCTTTCCTGAAAGCTCTGATTGCGATTCTTCCCCATAAAATTCGGATAGTCTGAGTCTCTGAAACACCATGTGTACCACAAATCTAAAATAGTTTTCAGAAGAAATTCAATTGACTCCTTCTTCTTCTTCTTCTTCTTCTTCTTCTTCTTCTTCTTCTTCTTCTTCTTCTTCTTCTTCTGTTGTGTATAACGCAATTAAAATCATCTGCCATTCTGAAA